AGATAGATAGATAGATAGACAGATTAGATGATAGATAGATAGATAGATAGAATGATAGATAGACAGATAGATTAGATGATAGATAGATAGATAGATAGATAGATAGATAGATAGATAGATAGATAGATAGATAGATAGATAGATAGACACACAGACAGACACACAGACAGACACACAGACAGACACACAGACAGACAGGAGCTGGGGCTGTTGCTCCATGGCTGAGCCTCACTGGGTTCAATCTCTCAGTACAATCAACCAATCAATCAATCTACTTTAAAAGTTCATGTGGTTGGGACCAGGGAGATGGCTCAGCAGAATAAATGTTTCCCTGGCAAGCGCAAGGGCCTGAGTTCAATCCCTGGTTCTGCAAAAAAAAAAAAAAGCTCATGTGGGACGGTGAGGGCATATCTCGTCTCCCAGCCCATCCCTCTGATCAACCAGGGTGAACTTCCCTTAGGGAAGTGTGTCCCACTCACACCATTGCCCACTGTTCTCATGAGCCCTGACTGACTCTCCCTGCCAGGCCCCAGATGCTAGGTCTAGGGGATTGCGGAGCCCATGGTCCACCCATGGTCCATGTAAGTGTGTCCCTGCACAAACTCCTGGCACCCTCACCCGAGCACCGACCTGAACAGTAACCCACCACCCTCACCTGCACACTCTCCCATCTCCCTCACTTGTATACCCACTTGCACACTCTCCAACCACCCTCACCTGCACACCCACATGCACACTCTCCCACCACCCTTACCTGCACACCCAGCTGCACACTCTCCCACCATCCTCACCTGCACACCCACCTGCACACTCTCCCACCACCCTCACCAGCACACTCACCTGAATGTCCACCACCCTCACCTGCACACCCACCTGCACACTCTCCCACCACCCTTACCTGCACACCCAGCTGCACACTCTCCCACCACCCTCACCTACACACCCACCTGCACACTCTCCCACCACCCTCACCTGCACACTCTCCCAGCCATCCTCTCACCTGCACACCCAAATAGCTGCACATGCCCTCCTGTGCACACCACCTCTGCTCCAGGATGAGGCAGCACAGTCTCTCCTGAGATGTGGGCCCCTTGGCCTTGGGTTCTGTGTCCTCCACAACTGTGATAAACCTGCCCTGTCCTCTCAGTGCTCTGCCTCCATGTTCTGTTAGAGCAGCCCAGGCCAGGCCAGACCAGAGAACTGGGCCCCCAGCAGACTCACACCTGAGCAGGTAGCACGGCCCCAGCAAGCACCTCACTGGCCCAGCTTTCCCCCGCATCTCCTGCATGCGTGAGCTCGTGCTCATCCCCTTTACCCATGGGACATAAGAGAAGCTCTCTCTGATGAAGGAACTGGGAAAGACAAGCATCGTGCTGTGATCTGCAGGATGGTAACTATATTTGGGAGATGGCTGAAGACAGAAAAGAGGATGTAATACCCAGAAAATCATCTGCAGTGCAGCAGGCAGGTCCCCTCCTGCCTAAGCCACCCCTCACCTGCAAGCACTGGCAGCCAGAGGGTCTACGCCTTCCTCTGAATCCTCATCCTCATCCTCATCTTCCTTGGGCGAGTTGTGCTGGAAGCCCAAGGACAGTGTCTGCATACTGCGACAGTTCTGGATGCAGAAGGATGACACCACGTGGTCCATGCGCGTGGAGAGGCTGACCTCGATCTTAGGGAAGTAGCCCATAGCCCTGCGCACGAAGGGCTCCTCCTGCATCTCATACAGGCAGTAGAAGAGCTCCAGCTGGCTGGGCTGGACCTGCAGCTTCTTGGCCTGGGCCTTGGCCTCAATCCACCTCAGCAGTGCCACTCTGACCTGCTGGGACACCCTACAGCTCAGCCTCTTCTCCAGGTAGGATGTCCTCTCCTGGTTGACAAGACCGAAGAGGAAGCGGACTACAAAAATCAGGTAGCCCTTTTCAAACTTGCCGTAGTTTTCCAGGAGGACAGCCACATCTCGCTGGGGAAGTGCCTTGTGGCTCCCTGCCAGCCCCAGCCCATCCTCCTCCTCCAGCAGGTAGTACATGGCTGCGAAGAACTCCTGGAAAGTCATGTGGATGAAGCTGTAGAGCTTCTCACAGTCCACCTCCTTCTGGAACAGGCTCATCCTCAGGAAGGCAGACACGGCCCCCTCCTGCAGGCCATGGCTCCTGAGGTCACACTCCTCAAACAGGACCTTCTGGTTCCAGATGCCATCGGCAGCCAGTGAGCAGAGCCCATGGAGGTGGGCAGACAGCTGGTGCTCATGACCACTGCCCTGGGCCTGCAGCAGGCAGGACAGGAAGAAGACGTACACAGCCGTGGTGGTCTTAGAGGTCTGGGCCAGGCTCTCCCCACGGTCCATGCACTGCTTGAGCCCGGTGCACACGATCCAGCAGACCAGCGGGATAAAGCACATGGTGAAGAGTACCTCATTCTCCTGGATCAGTGCGAGGGCTGCGCGGGCCTGCGCCTCACCCGAGAAGTACTTGAAGAAGTACTCCCTCCGACGGGCCTCGGAGAAGCCCAGCACCTCCACATGGCGTGGCCGCTCCAGCAGGTGCTGCAGCTTCTCCAGAGCAACCGGCCGGGTGGTGATGAGCAGCGAGGCCTTGGGCAGCAGCCTCTTCCGGATGAGGCTGCCCAGCAGTGCATCCCCTGGAGCTGCCGCCCGCCAGTCTGTGCACGGCGCCTCAGTGTGCTCGTCAAAGGCGCCCTGCAGCTCGTCAAAGCCGTCCAGGAGGAACAGGACCCTGGAGGACTTGCACACGATCTGGCCCACGGGGGGGCTGGGGTCGGGGCAGCAGCTAGCAATCAGGTCGCCCAGGCTCCTGGGCATGGCGAGGCTCACCTCCCGGCAGTGGATGTAGAACAGGTAGTCAAACTTATCCTGGAAGAGCTTCCCTGAGGCCCAGTCCAGCATGATCTTCCGGGCCAGGATGGTTTTCCCAATACCAGCCACACCTTGCACCACCACAGTGCGTACAGGCTCCACAGACTCCTCCTTAGGGCTGGGGTCGAACAGCTCCTCCAGCCTCAGCGGGCCTGGGGGGCTGTCCCGCAGCCTGCCCCCACCCATGGCCAGCAGCTCCTGTTCCCGCTCCTGCCGGCTGGGATGCTCCCGGACCATCTGGAGGCGTGTATAGCGCTTGTTGAGGTTTACACTCTCCCCCAGACGCGCATTCCGGTCCTCAATGCAGTGAAATCTGCTCCTCACATGTCGTCTGTATGTCCGGCAGAAATCTGTGGGGACACAGAGCCACACGCTGGGCAGGGCTGGAGCAAAGCTCTTTGCAGGGGTCAAAGAGGGTGAAGATCCAGGGTAGCTAATGCACGCACACATGTGGCCCACGGCCAGAAAACACGTCTCGTCATGTGTGTGCACACTGCCAGTGAGTCCATGTATTGGACAAACTCATACAGAAGCGGTCTGCTTTCCTAACAGCACAGCCACAAGACAGGGGCCAGAGACTGAGGCAGTCAGGCCAGTGGCACAGAGGCCGGGGGCTCTGGGCCAGGCCTTCTGTGAGTAGCCAGCAGCTGCTGCCAGAGCAGCCGCGCAGGAGGTCCTCCTGTGCCCAGATCTACATCTTGGCTGGGCCAGGCCTTGCACCCCTGGTGGCGAAGCAGAGGGAGGCCCGCCCAGCAGCTGCTCCACTCCAGACCTGCCCGCCGGCCCAGACCACAAGTCCAAGTGCCACCAACGTCTCACCCTTCTTCTTCCTACAAATGGAGATTCTGGAAAGGAAGCCCAGGAGGCCCATCCACTCTTCTTCAAGGCTGTCTTCCCGGCACTCCACTGCAGGGTTCTCTGGGCACAGAAGGAAAAACAGAAACTGGAAGGCCAGAAACTGGAATGCAAACACAGGTCACAGGCCCCGGCCCTGGCGCACTCCCAGGGAAACTGCCAGAGAGCAGGCAGCAGCATGCGGGCAAAGGCCCCGGTGTGTCCTCCACTCTTGTGGGGTAAGGACATCCAGGCACACACATTCAGCTGCAGAACTTCTTCCCAGCCTGAAGGCCTTGAGCAAGCTTGAGGCAGGCAACACCCTCGCCATGAGCTGTAAGCATCCAGCCCCGGGCCCGGCTCTGAGGTCTCCCCAAGAGCTGCAGGCCCTCCAGGAGGCCAGGCCCCGAAGGCCTCCCTTCCCTGGCCTCTCCAACACCCACACTCTCATATGGCTTTCCTTGGGCCTCCCAGGCTGAGCCCAGGGGCTAGGAGGAGCTCAGGGCTAGAGCACTTGCTCCGCTGTGCAAGGCCTGGGCTCAGCCCAGCTCTGCAGAAAAAGTGAAAAGGGTGAGAGTCAGCAGCCTGTCGCATCTCTAATTTAGTGCTTCAGAATTCTGGCTGGCTTTAGATTCAGCCACGCAGAGTCATGACTACTGGCCCTGGAGATTCTTCTCCATCCATCTGAGGTACGGCATGGGACTGGGGTACATTCACAGCCCCCACATGACCCCAACACAGCCAGTGGATAAGAATGCGACCAGAGTCAGCCCCCCGGGAAGCACAGACAAGAGAGGAGCAGTCAGCCCAGAGGCTCCTGCAGGACTCTACTTCTCCAGAAAGCACAGTGCAAGTCCAAACACAAGCCCACACAAAGCCGCCGCCAGGGGCCAGGGAGATGGCTCAGTAGAATAAGCACTTCCCGGGCAAGCGCGAGGGCCTGAGTTCAATCCCCAGTTCCACCAAAAAAAAAAAAAAGCCGCAGCCAATGAGAGCGAAGTCTCACAGGAGCCCAGCATGAGAAGGTGAGACCTGGCCCTGCTCTTTCTGCTCCAGCCTGGCTTGGCGCCACCACAGCAGCCAGGCAAAGAGCACCTTCCGGCTTCCTCGCGCTGCACCTCTGAGCAGAAGGGGCTGTGTGGCCAGACAAAGCCACGCAGGGTCACCATGCTGGCCTGGACTCCAGCCTGGTGCCCAGACAGTCTGGCTTGAGGGTTACACATCCATTTGCTGTGTGAGGCTTCGTGCAGCCAGCCTTGCCCTCCTCGGTGACTGTGCTCTAGCATCCCTCAGCCCACCCCTCTCCCTGCACCACCACCGGTCGCCCAGCCAGCACTTGCCCTGCCACATAACTTCCTGCTGATGGCCAAGCCTGTTCCCCTCCCACCACCTTGGGCTCTCCAGGGTGCCTTGCACCCTCTTGCTGTCCTTCCCTGCCCCAGCGTGCACACTGGGGTGCAGGGACACTCCTTGCCTGTTCCCATGCCCAGCGGTGGCCATCAGAGAACACTGTCCATGCACTGCATAATTCCTGGAAGGTATTCTTTCCTCTAGGTAGGAGACCAGCCAAGCAGGCACTGGGCATCACGAGGGGTCAGGGGAGAACAAGAGCACAGGGGGCCAACACCTGCCAGCAGTCAGACCGAGTCACAGCCTTGGGGAAGTCCCAGGGGGTGCCCTGGAGTGGAGCCTCTGAAGAAGGTGTGGCAAGAGACAGCTGCCCCATCTTCTCCGCCATGAGAGGAGGACCAGGAAAAGCCAGACCCTGCTGGAGACGGCCGTGAAGCACACTAAAGTCTGTGCATGAAAAGCCACCCGCAGCGAGGGACAACATCATGCGTCTAATAAGGATCAACATCCAGAAAGCAGAGAGCAGCAAAAATTCATTATGACATGGGAAAGGTTGACAGAGCCCCCACTGAAGAAGCCACCAAAATGATCAGGAGACCCACAGAAAGACTACAGTGGCGCCAGTCCTCAGGGAGATGCGATCAGAGCCACTGAGAGCCACTGAGAGCCACCGCCTCCTACTTATTAAGGTGACAGCTCAAAAAAGCAGAAAATGCCAGCGGTTCGTGAGGACAGGAAGAAGCCAGAACTTTGTGCACCATGGGTAAGAACAGAAGACTATAGCTGCTATAAAAAGATCGCCTGAAAATTCCTCAAAAAAAAAAAATTACATTCTTCACAGGGACCAGGGTTCTATCCCCAGTCCCACATGCCGTGCCAGCCCCACCCCCCGGGCTTGCTGAGACATCAATTGCACCTGGGCATCATTGCTCACACCTGTAATCCCAGGGCCGAGGGACTAAAAACAGGAGGATCACTATGAGTCCAAGCTGTGTAGTGAAACCTTGTACCAAATACATACATGAAGTTAAAAACTTACATTGAGGATTGCAGCTCAATCCTTACATTCCACATCTGCACATAAACTCAAGAGTCCAAATCAGGGTATGCAAAAGACTTGTGCCCACTGAGGTTCCATCTCTACTCACAACAGTGAGAAGTGGGATTTGCACAGGTGTCTGCCAGCATGGGTACACAGAAGCTACCAGTGCGTGTGCGCACGCACACACACACACACACACACACAGAGGAGTGGCACTCAGTGCCACAGGAGGAGCCTTGACAGGATGCCTGTGGCAAATCCGGGGGCTCCACTGTGCAAAACAAGCACCACCAGCAGCCAGCCCCAGGCTTCTCAGAGAGGAACCCGAGCAGTGAGCGAGCGCAGAGGAACTGAAACCAGCACTTCCGCTCCTGGCCACCGGGGCAGCGGTCACCTCTCTGGTGGGAGGGCTAAGGGGTTTCTGTTTTGCAAGATACAGAGAGCTCTGGAGGATGGTTGTGCAATGTCAAACCCACTTCCCCCGTGATGCTGCCGCACATGCTGGTAAGAGTACACTCGTGTCCAAGCGCTCACCCACTCACCCCACTCTGGCTGCTCCTGCTGTGCCTTCTCCTGCAGGTCTCTCCTGTGGATAGCACCGAAGATCCACGTGGCCATGGCCCACGCACGCTCCTCCCCATTGAAGGCGATCATGGCAGTGGCCAGGTCCATGTGGTCTGCCCGCTCCGTCTGGCCCCTCGGGAGCGGGGTGCAGCCCCTCTGTGGGGGGTAGTCCTCCAAGTACATCTTGAATTTCTTAAAATCTGTGTGATCCAGGTCCTCCAGGTAGCTGGCCAGCTTACAGCGGGTGCTGGCCATGTTCCTCAGCACAGCTCAGGGCCACGCTGGGTCCCAGGCATCCAGGCAAGGAGTGTCTTTCTGAGTCTTTACTCTGCTGGGCACAAGGACACAGGCCTGTGATCTAGCACTCAGGAGGCTGAGGCAGGAGGATAGCAAGTTCGAGCCCAGCCTGAGCAACTTAGCAATTTAATAAGATCCTGTCCAATACAAATAGTTTTACTCTAATTCCAACACTCAGGAGGCTGAGACAGGATCATTGCAAGTTCAAGGCCAGCCTGGTCTATAAAGTGAGCTCAAGGCCAGCCTGACCTGCATAGTGAGACCCTGTCTCAAAAACAGTAAAAATGATAATAATAATAATAATAATAATAATAATAATAATTTGAAAGGGCTGGAGATGTAGCTTAGGGCAAAGGTCTTGGTTTCCAGCCCCAACATCAGAAAAATGTCTGCTCAAGGAGAGCCCAGCTACCAAAACCTCAGCACTCTGCACGCATGTGGAAATCTCGTGGGGTGTCCTGTAAATGCTCACAGTTAAAAGCAACAGTTCAAAAATTTAGGGAGGTTTTTTGAAACAAGATTTCTCAATCAAATCGTGTTGATTTCTCAAATCAACACGATTTGAGGCCCAGGCAGAACCCAAACTCGAAGTGACCCCTGTCTCAGCCTCTCAAGTGCTAGGATTACAGGTGGATACCACCACACCCGGTGAAGTTAAAAAAAGTTTAAACTCAGAAAACTCACAGGAAAATGTATCAGGTGAGCATCACAAACCACCATTCTGTCCTGAAAAACGAGCCCAGCACTCACCAGGCAGCGAGCCTCACCCAGGAGTGTCCTGGCCGCAGAGAAACTGCCCTGCAGAGAGAACGCGGGTGAGCGCCAAGCGGGAGGCCCTGCCCAGCGCCCGGGCCTGGCCCGCTGACCCGCAGCCCCTGCTCTCAGTGGAGAGGTGGAAGCTGCTTTCATCCATCCAGCCCAAGGCTGCTGCTCCAGGTGCTGTCTTGACAGGAGCAGACAGCAAGGCAGAGGCCTGGAGAGGAGTCCTGAGACCTGCGACACAGACAGACAGCGTAGCGGCCACAGAGGATGCCCCCTTCCGGCCCACAGGAAACCGAGGACACCAGAGCGACCTGCCGCAGGCGTGTGCAGGACACAGAGGGCACACAGCAGTCCACGCTCCCGCAGCACGCACGGTCCTCCTACCCTCCTCGCACAGCCCCCGCGGCGCACAGACTTGGCGCAAGCTCCTGCCATCCCTGGGGGGGCGACAAGCCAACGATCTCATCTGATGGCTCTTGCCAGAATGAAGTGGGACCAGGACCTTTGTGTGTGTGTGTGTGGTACCAGGGATTGAACTCAGGACCTGTGCTTGCCAGGCAAGTGCTTATTCTACTGAGCCATCTCCCCGGCCCAGGACCAGGATTTGGACCAGAGGGCTGGGACTGTGTCTTCCACCATTAACTACATGTTGCATTCTGACAGAAACAAGCCAGGAACGGCAATGTCGCAGCACTCAGAAGGCTGAGGCAGGAATATCACCAGTATTGACTTAGAGGAACGACCTCAAAATAAAAAGTAAAAAGTGGTTCAATCCCCAACACCACATTTTTTTTCTTTTTCTGTGCTGGGCTATGATCCCATGACATCTCACATGCTAGGCAAGTGCTCTACCCTGAGCTGCATTCGCAGCACCCCACATAAACTTTTTTTAAAAATAGGTGGCTAAAGGCAAGCATACCCAGTGTTCACCCTGACTGCCGAGTCTCTTGCCAGGCTCAGCCCTCTGTCACCCTACTGCTTCCTTGAGGAGACATGGGGTTGCCACCAGTGTCATCTTCTGCACCACACAGCCCTGGCAATGATAAAGGAGACAGGGACTGCAGAAGGGGGCAAGGCCAGGAAAGAGCTTCCTCACCCACAGCAGGGCAGGCCTGCCGGCCCCTGCCTGCCCCGTCCTCCCATGCCCCCCGCTGTAAAGCAGGAGCCACCCCACACCAGGCCAAGGGACAGCAGGGGAATGGCACAGATTTAGGGTGGCCCAGGCCCTGAGGCGCAGGAAGGGTGTGGCTCTGCGTGGGCACAGAGGCTTGCCTCCCAGCCTCACCAGGCCAGCACCGCCTGCAGCTGGGCTTTCCACACTGTGTAAACCGCATCCTCCTGGCTATGCTGCCCTCACCCTCGGGAGCCCTGCTGAGCCCTGGGTGGGGAAGGACCCGAAGGCCCTTGTGGGTCGCATGACCCACACCCATCCCGAGGGGCTGGGCTTCACTGCCAACCTGGGAAGGAAGAGGTGACCAGATGGGGCTGGCCCAAGGCCCCGGGGTATACCAGGCATGCCCCGGGAGGCAGTGGCCAGCAGCAGTTCCTCACACGGGCAGTGATTCCACTCCTCACAGGATGCCTGTCCCTGGCATATGCACGGGAAGCACCTGGCATGTGCTGGGTGGGCCCAGGCCAAAAGCCTCCTGCCAACACCAAGAGCCAGACAGATGACCCGAGGCCACTCCCTGCTTCCCAGCAGCTGCAGACCCAGGCTCACCACATCCTCAGGGACCACCAAGGGCACGGCATTTCTTTGCTTTCTGTAGCACCAGGTGGGGATGGCACCTGCCTCAGAGGAGCGACCTTGAGGACATGGTTGGGTCTAAGATTCCAGTCTCAGATGTCCCCAAGGCTCCCATGTGGAAGGTGACTGGACCATAGGGTGCTGTGCCCAGCTATGCTCAGCAGTGGATTCATCGTAAATTGGAGCTGACTGCGAAGGCAGAAGGGACGCCGGTTGGAGAAGGTCACTGGGCAAGGCTTGGAAGGCAGGTTCTGTCCTGGCTCCTCCCTTTCCTCCCTGCCCTGGCCTGTGGGTAGAAGAGCTCCTTCACCTGGCCCTTCCTTTCATTTTGTCCTGCCTGGGAGCCAACCAACCACAGGCTCAAACCACAAGCCAAACAGACTTCTTGTCTGTCTCAAAAGTTGGCCATGCTGTCCCAGGGGTACAAAGTAGCTAAGGTACGTGGCATGAAAGCTGGGAGCAGAACCTGGCTGCTGTTACATGGCCCTGGCTTCAGAACCACTCCAGATGCTCTTGGAGCTGAGAGGAAGGGCGCCGGCTCTCACGGAAGTCAGGGTGCAACTGCAGACCAGAGTCGATGCAAAACAGGCTCCGTAGCCACCTGGGACGAGGGGAAGGAGCAGCAAGGAGTCTGACAGCACACCAGGCAGGAGGGCTGAGGGAGAGGAGCTGCTGGTCAGACCAGAGCCTGGGGTGGTCAGGCTAGGAAAAGTCTCACTCATCTGGTGAGAGGCGGCAAGGACTTGCTACATAGCTGAAGCTATCGTTGAACTCAAAAGCCTGCTGCCTCTGCCTCCAGAGTGCTAGGATTAGAGGCCTGTGCCACCAGGCCTGGCTCAAGTTTTATACTCAATGAAAATTCATTCCTTTATCAAAACAGACACACAGACCAGTGGGACATAGCAGAAAGCCCAGAAATAAGCCCAATCACTTGTGGTAGGCTATGTCTCAAAAAGGCAACCAAGTAGTCACTGCGTAGTGCAGGGAAGAATTCTCATCTATAAACAGCTTCCAAAGAACCAGATAGCCCCATGCAGAGGAACACTACGGACCCTTATCTACACCCCATACAAAAATCGACTACAAATTGCTGAAGACCTAAACAAAAGATCTGAGCCTGTAAAATTTCCAGGTGAAGATAGAGCAGGAAGCCTTGACACTGGCCTTGGCCAGCGCTTGGAGGTCCTCGTGAATGGAGAGGGCTGATGGCAAAGCCTGAAATGAGCACGTGGGAGCAGTACAGTGAGCGCTCTGCACACAGCAGAAGTCATCCCAAGGGAGCCCAGCTGACTGGAAGACTGCAGAGCATGCATCAGACAAGAGGCTAATTCCAAAATACGTAAGAAACCCCAACAACAGTCTAGCAGCAAAACAATGGCCACAGAACCTGTGCAGACCTAACTCCAAGGAGAAACAGAGAGCACCATTTCTAAAAACTCTGAGTCCAAAGTCTCCTCTGGGACTCAAGGCAAACTCTTAACCATGAACTCCTATAAAATCAATGAGAGGACCAAGCGGGCTCTCACATGGAAGCAGGATTCCTTGTCCTGCAGAAATGATCACCAAGATGCAGAAAGTAGACCTGGG